GGATGCGGGAGAGGGGTGTGGGGAGTGTGTAGACAGGGGAGGGGGTTTATGGGTGGGGATTGGATAGGAGAGGGGAGTGTGGACAGGAGCTAGAGGTGGATGGGTAAGAGGGGTGGGCAGGGGTAGGGGTGGATGAGGAGAGGGGTGGACAGGGGGTAGGGGCGGATGGGGGAGGGAGTGGTGGATGGTGGAGAGGTGGGTACATGGGGGGATGTGTGCGTAGGGGAGGGGAGTGTATTGGGGGACTTAAGGAATGGATGTGAGCCAGAATGGGGCCAGAAGATAGCCAGAAGGCCCTTCCATGACAGCGTGATGTCATTGCCATCTGAATGATGGCCATCTTGACTTGTGGCAGCACACCATCTACTTTTTTTACTTCATTGCTATTTGTAGGAGCCTGTACTCAAATTGGTTGCCATTATCCATTGTTTGCAACAGCATCAATGCAACAGAAATATTTTATTGTCTATGAAGAACTATGGGATGCCCTGAGGTTTACAAAATCATGAGGGTCATGGATAAGGTGAATAGCAAGGGTCTTTTCCCTAGGGTGGGGGACTTCAAAACCAGGGGACATATTTTTAAGGTGAGAGGACAAACATTTAAAAAGGACATGAAGGGCAACTTTTTTTTACCAGAGAGTGGTTCGTGTGTGGAATGAACTTCCAGAGGAAGTGGTGGATGAAGGTACATTTAGAACATTTAAAAGACATTTAGATAATTACATGAATCGAAAGTTTTGGGGGGATATGGTCCAAGCACAGTCAGGTGGGACTAGTTTAGTTTGGGAACATGGTCGGCCTGGATTGGTTGGACCGAAGGGTCTGTTTCCATGCTGTATAACTCTGACTGTGAAAAGTGCTGTATAAATGCAAATTCATCCATTCTTTCTCTATGATAGTTATTATTTCTTTTGCCCTTTTTGCATCTTTTAATGTTCTCCCTTCTTCAGACATTTTTATTGCTGCTTTAATAGAATTTCTTTCTCATTATGCTTTGCCTCTGCAGCTTTGCTTTTTTCTAGGTCTCTCTTTGCCCTTACGATCAACCTTTTTGACCTGTTTCTGCATGTTGCTGTTTTCATCCCAGTGAACCTTCTCAGCTTCCTATCTGCAAGATTTGCAAAGGTCATTTTTTACTTCTTTAATATGTTTTAATTTAATTGGTTATCTCGTTAGGATCATGTCTGTTTGGTCTGAACCAATTGATGCTACATATTCATTTAGCCTGCATGTTCAACAGCAATCATTTAACTTTGTGTCTTTTGCTGACATGCAAACTAACTTTCTCCTCTATTTCATGTGCTTTATTTCTTCCTTCATTGCTGAGAGTTCTGTCTTATTTAGGTCCTGCCCCCACCTCCTTGTCTTTGGATCTGGATTTCAGATACGCCATTCTGAACTCTGTGATTCTGTGTTTGTTCTATCTCAAAGGTGTGACAGCTTCCAGTTGTTGTTTGGGCCATTTACGAAGTTGTGCTCAAGATGAGCACTTGCCTCAATGGCTTACCTTACCCATTAAGTTATAAAGCAGTCATCCAGTATAATTGCCAACAAAGCTTGATTGAAATCACTCATTAAATTTAGCTTTCCTTTCCTTAATACGACCCTAAATCTTTTTAGAGCAAACTGTACCTCTTTTAATTGTTTTCCCATCTAGACAGTTCATTATTCAGCTTATCTACGCTTATTTCACAAAAACCACTTCAAGTCCCTCCCTTTGTCCGTGCCAGAACTAACTATACCATCTCCATTGCCATCAGAGAGCTACACCACTTCAAATTAAGTTCAGTTTTAACTCTGGATTCAGCCACGTTGTTCCTGTTATATTTCACAATTGCCAGTATTTAATTCCAGTATTTTGTTTCTATCATCAGTACTTCTAGCACTGTTGCATTAACCTTGTAGTTTTGCTTCGGTTTGTGTGCCTTACTGTTTGCAATTCTTGGGCTTTGGCACAATATCTCCAGCTGACTTAGATCTACTACTCTGCTTGCTATTATGAAGATCCTTCATATTTAATAATATTGTTAATATTATAATGGACTTGACTTTTAATGGATTGCACAAAAATTGATTTATTTCATGTTCTGTGGATTATCTCAGGGTGTTCTGCATTTATACCTTGAATGACAGTTTAAACACGCTTTCAAGAATTGGCTATCTGATGTAGAGTCTTGGTAGAACTTTAGATTAAACAATTGAGGTGTAAAAGATTTGAATGGGTTTTATGAATGGGCATTTTTTCGCTATCAAGTGTGTATGAGTGAGAATTGCATTAGATTATTAGAAGTTTTTTTTAATTGCAACATGGCATCTGAAGCAACTTATTATCTAAATGGACAGAAACTTCAGAGTGCTTCAGTGCAGAGGAATCTGGGTGTCCTTGTGCATGAGTCACAGAAAACTAGTATGCAAGTACAGCGGGTAACAAGGAAGGCAAATGGAATTTTGGCATTTATTCCTAAAGGAATAGTGTGTAAAAGTAAGGAAGTACTGTTACAACTGTACAAGGTATTAGTGAGACCACACCTGGAGTATTGCATACAATTTTGGACCCCTTACATCAGGAAGGATGTAATTGTATTGGAGGCCATTTAGAGGAGGTTCACTAGATTGATTTCAGACGTGAAGAGTGTGTCTTAATGAAAAGAGATTGAGCAGTTTAGTCCGATACTCTCTGGAGTTCAGAAGAATGGAGGAGATCTAATTAAGGTACATGAGGGAGTTGACAAAACATAGAAAGAATGCTTCCTCCTTTGGTGTAATCTAGAACGCGATGCCCTGACAGCTAGTAATTTTCTGATGCCTATTGTTACTAATGTTTTATGTAGAGCTTGATGTTAATGAAAGTTGGTGAGATTTATATATTATATCAAAGTAAAAACTTGAATGTGAGAGGGGAAATGCAGCTAAGTCACAAACTCAGTTAAATAATACGTACATGTGTGAAGAATATATTTTAATACATACAATTATAAAGTGCACATTAAAAAAAACTGAGTATTTTATAAAGGATGATGAAGTAACAATAGGTGAAATTTAAAAATGCTTATAGACTTGGTATTTAAAAGGCCTAATACCTTTGGCAAAGCAATGAACAAACTGTATAAGCAGCAGTGCCGAGAAGGACAACAGGGTGCTCGTTTTAATCAGAGGATTGGATAGTGAGGAAGGATTGAGGGAACAGACTTTCTAGTCACTCAATTATGTGACTCAGTGGGTACCTAGGAGAGGTGTAAATGGCAAAGAAATGGTAAATATAGAGCCCTATGTTGAGTTGGGTTTTTAAAAAAAAAGTGTCAAAATAGCAGAAACAAATATAAGGCTAAAGTTTCTAAAATGTTTTGGAATTTTCCATAGAGAGTTCAGCAAATGGAGTTTCCATGTGATGTAGCAGAGCGGAAGAACTTGGAACCATTTAACTATGTTCTAAAGAGAGAGAGGGAGGTGTGGAATTTTTCAAGGTCAATGAACTATAATGAACCAAATACAAAGTGCAAATCCCAATGGGAATATGCTTTGTACAGTTTAAGATTCAACATGGTGAAATGCAGTTTCTTAGATTTACTGCATAAGAAATTAAATAATTTCTACGTCATGAAGAAATAATTATTTAAGATTGTGCTGCTTGTATGATAGAAACACGTATATAGTGCAATTATAAACATCCTGTATTGATCAGTAAAACATTATGATATCTTTTTAAAGAAACTAAATTAATCTAGTTTGCCTTATAAATATGCATTTATTCACTGGAGACTGTTGCATCAAAAGAGCCTTAACACTGCAGCTGAAAATGCTGAAACGTTGTGCAGTGCTTTCCTGTACAACTTTAAATGTGTTCTGTAGAGAATAATAAACAGAGCAAATGTTGGAAATGTGCTGCAAGTCAGTCAACACATGTAAGGAGAAAGGCAGGTCAGCATCTTCCATCAGAACTGAATTCTAAGGAGTGGTCTTAACCTAAAAGTAAGTATTCCCAACTTTTTCTGTGTTTATTTCAGATTTCTTCCATTTTGTGGATTTTTTTTGTACTAAATAGAGAAGTTACAATTTGTTGGGACTGTTGCTACTCCATATTCAAGAATTTAGATTTAAAACAGAAATGTAATCTTGTGAAATTTAAATGCAAGAATAGCATGCTAGTGAAGTAATTTTGTCAAGTCAAGTCTGTCTAAGCTATCGGTTAACTGAGTATCAAGGGGAAACAGCATCGCTTTTAAGTAGTGCAAAAGGAACATATTTTGTTGTAACTAATATAATCTCCATTTCTGGATGTTTAGATACAACAAATCCCTCCCCTTTTTCAGTTACAATGCTGTCACAAATCACAACTACATAATCCAGCAGGTGTTGTTCTAAATATTGATGGTAAATGTAATTAGCCTGCAATGACACACATATTGGTTTTCTAATAAACTAATATTTGAATTGTTTCAATTATATTACATATCTAAATTATGCCAGTGTGCTGGAAGATTAAATGAACAGCATGTCCCATGGAGGACCAGCAGCTCCACACCCTCTTGGGCATCTTATAGAGTTGCTTCAAGAGTGTTGTTGGTATGAACACATTAACTGTCTTATCGTCTGTTACAGAATTGCATGCAATCATAAAATAATTTTGAAATTGATGGGATGATGAAATTAAATTGTAAATAAGTGTTATGTGTACATGTAGCAAACTGGTGCGATTTTCTAGTATAATTAAATAATCATCATATTGCTGCACTGGCAGATGTTGCTGTGTTTTGTTTTTTTTATGTATTGAAATGCATTTGGAATTAATGAGTTTGATTTAGTGAAATCCGAATGTAGTATTTTTACTCCAGTTCCATTTTGAACAATTTCAGGTTAAACTAGAGTGCTGTATACTACACAGGAAGAGTTGTTGGTCATGCTGTCTGAAGCATCATGCTTGTTATCATGATGATCAATTTTGCAATGAAATTGAGTTTTTGTCAATTACCATGATGGCACTTATTCAATATCTTCCAGCAACAAGATGAAGAGCGACGTCGCCAGTTGAGAGAGAGAGCTCGTCAGCTAATTGCAGAAGCTCGATCTGGCGTTAAGATGTCTGATCCTCCCAGCTACAATGAACTGACTACTGAAAAGTTGAGAGAAAGATCAAAGGCAGCTGGAGGTTAGTGAAATTTTAACTCAAATAACGCTCCATCACCAGATTCCTAATATGCAGGTGAAGGCCTTCCGCAAATCTTAACTCAGTCATTTTTCAGTCTGAACATCTGTTTGATTCTTGCTGCAAATGGTGCAATCCTTTTGTGACTCTGCCTCGGTATAGAATCTTCACTCACAAATACATTATTAATTATTACTAGGTAACTACTACTGACAGAAAAATATGAACATTTCATTGAAACTCAGACAGTGAGATTGAAATTAACCTGAGCCTCGAGGTGATGTTGCATGAGCATAGAAACATAGAAGAAAGGAGCAGGAGTAGGCCATTCGGCCATTCAGCCCTTCAAGCCTGCTCCACCATTCATTATGATCATGGCTGATCATTGAGCTCTATCCCTCTCTCCAAACCACCTCCCCCAGCCATATCCCTTCATTCCTTTAGTGACAACAGCTATATCTACCTCCTTCTTGAAAACACATCATGTTCTGGCCTGAGCCAAGTTATTTTTCTTTAGCCAGTATATACCAGTGAAGCACCTGAGCAGCTTCTATAACCGAGTTGTTGTAGATGTATTACCCATTCACGCACTGTTAACACTATCCTGGAATGTGGATCTCAGATAGTTGACAGCATCTAAATGTTAAGGCAACTGGATTTTTTATTGCTCATTTTTCTTAAAGTGGGTTTCTCTGACTGCACCAGATTTCTTTGGACCAGACTTTACTGTGCTCAGTGGTAACCTTACATTCTCGGAAGTAATGTTGACAACATCAGGATCATTGCAAATCAGCACCCACTGGTTCCCAGTCTCATGGCACCACTATAGTGTCACGACATGGCATTGGACTCTTCAAACTGTCCCAGTGAGTCGTAACCAAACTCTTGAATAGTCAGCGCCAGATTTTGTGAATAATCAATAACAGAGGCCAAGTTTATAGCTGAAACAAAGAATTAACAATTTGTTATTAATACAGTAGCTTTAGCTGACCAATGTTAAATGAGGTAATCTAATTAATGTCTATAATTTGAACCCAACCTTCTTGGATTCTAGCCCCCATCCTCACATTGACAGACAGATACACGTGTGCACGCATTTAAGGGATAAATCAAAAGAAAAATGAGAGAAATGTAACTTTCCAGTTCACTTAAGCAATTTCCACGATTTGTAATTTCACACACACATGGGATTGTCTTCTGCATGGTTTCTAAAGTGAGGAACAGTCATTGAATTCTTATAGCTAAGATTCTATTCTCTAAACTTTTAATAAGTTGATAATGGGAGGACAGCCAGGAAGCAGTCAAACTTCTGTCCTGTGGCTATGGTCACCACAATCCTTCTGACAAAAAAAAAGCTCAAACCAGTACAAACGTTGGTTTCTCTTTCTCTTGACACCACCTTCCCTGTGAGACAGGTCCGATGAACACTCAACATCTGCCATCTGTTTGAGCATAATACCTCTCCAGCGCTAAAACATCTATAGACAACGATAGAACAAGAATCAACCTGCAAATAAATCCCAAGTTTAGCCTCATAACAAATATCAGCTTGTTTGTCTCTTTTTATTTAAAACCAACTCCTGCTCACAGCTCAAAGATCACCTTCTGCTCTCAGCTCACAGTTCGCAGCTCCAAACTAAAAATAATAAAAATACTGAAGGTCTCAGCACTAAGTGCTGATTTCTGATACTCATAGTACCAGAATCAGCTAGCAACTGTCAGTCTGCACTTGTTTGAAATATCAGAAGCCCCCTTCCAGCAGTTCACATTAAGAATAGTGGCACAATTAGGAAGCAAATGTGGGAAAGAAAAACACGTAGGGCTTTGCCCTGAGACCCAGACTGCAGCATATAAGTATTTTAAGCGTGCACATAATCTTGCTGAAGCCCAGCTACTGATGATCTTTCTTTAGTAACAGAAAAGAGTGGACAGAGGTATAAGCTCTTTGCTAACTTTTTTTTAAAATACAGTTCGCCGCTTCTGCACTTAATCAAACTTGAAATCTGGAATTTGCATTGCTACAGATCTTCCTGCTGTTGCCAACCTACTGCAATTACAATACTATTCATGTCTGCCACACCTGTAATGTTGCATGGTCACCATTCCTGAGTGCACTTTGGGTCTTTGTAGATGTGATAAAATTAAATCTAAGGGTAATAAACTAACAATTTTCATTGTGCCACATCCTATACTATGCACTAATGTGGAAATGCCCTACTCACGTTAACTGGGATGTTCTATGTATAATAAATCCTTTTGCTGATTTTCTTGTTTCCACAGGTGATACTGTTGGGGTAGATATTAATGAGGAAGGTGCTGAAAGCTCTATGTTGGGAGGTGGAGAGGAACATACTAACACTGAAACTGACCTTGATTCTTTTGGTAATTCTAATTATGTTGTGCTGTTTGTCCTGCATAAAATGCAATTCTTGGTGTTTGCATGAGCTGTTCCTGCCTGTCTTCTGCTATCAATGCATGTGTAAATATAGACTAAAACTTTGAGCTGCAGCAAAATGTAAGGTATTATAGCAATACCTTAAAACAGCTTCTATACAACAAAATGTCCACAGTTTACATACATCAATGATGCCTGCATTTCTGGTTGCTATGACCCTAGAATTAATCAATTGCCAATGCCTTAACAAGTTCACTACATGTAGAAGAAGAAATCATGCGGTGGAATATACTCAGTTGTTGTTTTCTCTGGGAACATTATGCTATGTCAAAATATTAGCTTACAGATACAACTTAATATTTCATATTAACCTTTTTGGTACAGTGGAGGTTTGGTACAGTGCCATAATACTTGTAACTCTATTGTATGTTATCCAAGTGACCATTCCTCAAATGGCATTGCGTACAGGCCAATAATTTGATTACCTTGCTATTATAGTTAAGCCAATCCTTTCCACCAGATATTTAAATATATATTCATAATCAACAGTTACTGGGTGATGCATAGCTTGGTCTCTGCACCAAATCTCATGACAGAAAGGACAATTATTGCAGCCATTGCCATTAAAGTCACCAATGGAAAATTGGAATTTAGCCTGATACTCTTGGCTTAGTACCTCATTGCTCAAAACATTCACCTATTCATCTATCAGAGGGACCAAGATGTCATAAATTGAACTACAGTTTTCATCATACAGTTGGTCAGCCTTGTTATTTGTGTTATGGACCAGACCAAACCCCCTCAAAATATAGTAAGAAGATAGCCTAGACCCTAACTTTGTCTTATTCTAATGGTATGTGTAAGGCATTGTGTTCCAGATGCAATTCAATTGGTCAAACTACCAGCCTTGAAACAAAACCACTTTATTCATACACCATAATTAAAATACAGACAAAATAAAGAGAACAGAATTGGCTTAACTGTAACTCTATCGAAATGCTTAATAATATACATATAAACTACAACTAATTAACTGTTCTAATATTAGTAACATCCCATAAACACACCTTTGGCAAAGGCAAATCCAGTAAAATATATTGTCTGAAATGCAATTCCAGCAGAAGGAAGAGAACCCCAGCTTTTAGCTGTAGCTGAGAGAGGAACAAGAGCTTCCATATCCAGTTTCAAGATCCCAGCTATTGAAGGCTAAAACGAAAAAGAATTCCTGTTTCCATGGGAGCTTGACCCCGCCCATTCAGGCTGCTTCTACTGTTCCAACTTTTTTAAAAAATAACTCCCAAGGTCTCACAAGCTGTTTGCTTTATTGGCTTTGGAGCAGTCTGCTCAGTACATCTGTCTCAACCTTTCTTCATTACGAAAACCAGGAAAAAATACACCTCTTAAAGCCATAGTGTCATCATATTTGTTTACAGCAAACTCTCACATGCAAAGCATTTTCAGTTTATTTATTACATTGGAGTTTAGCCTGGACCATGAGACTACAAGAAATAGGAGCAGGAGTTGGCCATTTGGATCCTCGAGCCTGCTGTGCCTTTCAATAGGATCATGGCTGACCTGACATTCCTGAGGTCCACTTTCTGATGCTTTACCCATGACCCTTCATTCCCCTGCTGATCAAGAGTCTGTCTATCTCAGTCTTACCTATTCACAAGGACTGTGCCACAGAGAGCAGTGGGGGCAAGGAGTTCCAAAGACCGTCAACCCTCTGAGATAAGAAATTCCTCTTCATCTCAGACTTAGATTGACATCCCTTTAATTTGAGACTATGCCCTCTGGTCCTAAACTCTCCCATGAGGGGAAACATCCTCTCAGCATTGACCCTGTCGAGCTCTTTAAGAATCCTTCATGTTTCAGTGAGATCACTTCTCACTCTTTGAAACTCCAGTGAGTAGAGTCCCAAACCTGTTTAACCTTTGCTTGTAGGTCAATCCCTCCTTACTAGGATCATCCTAATGAAAGTATTATATTTTTTCTTAAATAAGGGACCAAAACTGCTTACAGAACTTCAGATGTCATCTCACGAACACCTTGTACAGCTGCTCTAAGACTTCCCTACTCTTATACTCGAACGCCATTGAAATAAGGGCCAACATTCCATTAGGCTTCCTGATTACCTGATGCACTATGTGCTAGCTTTTTGTGTTTCCTGTACAAGTACCCTAAGTCCTGTTTTGTTGTAGCTTTTCTCTATTTAAATAATACTCTGTTTTTTTGTTCTCCCTTCCAAAATGAATAACTTCTCAATTTCCCACTTGACACTCCATTTGCTAACCTTTTACCAAATTACTTAACCTGTCAATATCTGTCTGTAAACTGTTTGCATCTCTGTCACAACCTGTCTTTCCACCTGTTTTTGTGTCATCCGCAAATTTGGCTGCAGTATGTTCATTTCCTTGTTCCAAGTGATTAATATATTATAAACTGTTGCAATCCCAACACTGATCCCTGGGGACCCCCATGGGTCACAGGTCACCAACCTGAAAAAGAACCCTAATCCACGCGTACTGTTTCTACCCATGAACCAATGCTCTATCTCCAACCCTGTCGGCTTTTATCTTATGACTTACCCTTTTCGTGAGGTATGTTGTTGAATACCATCTGGAATTCTAAATACAACATATCTGGTTTTCCTCTATCCACTCTTCTTGAGACTTCCTTGAAAAACTCTAATAAAGTCAGACATGATTTTCCTTTTATGAAGATGTGCTGACTCTGCTTATGACTTTCCAAATGTTCTGCTATTGTTTCCTTACAGTTGATTCCAACATTTTCCCAATAACAGATGTTAGGGTAAATGTTCTATAGTTATCTGCTTTTTACCTGTTTCCATTTTTGAGTAGGGGTGTTCCAGTGACAATTTTCCAATGCTCTGGTACTTGTCCAGAATCCAATGATTTTTGGAAAATTATAGCCAATGCATCCACGATCACTGTAGCTACCTCTTTTAGGATCCTAGAATGTAAGCCATCAAGGCTAGGGGTCTTATCTGCCTTTAGCCTCATTAGTTTGTCTATGACTACTTTGGTGGCAGTGATGGTACTTAATTCCTCCCGTATTCTTTAGTATCAGTGAATGTTCAAAGTATCCTCCACAATAAAGGCTGATGCAAAATATCTGTTTATGTCCTCTGCCATTTCCTTGTTCCCCATAACTGTCTCCCCAGAATTATTTTTAAGGGGCTTATGTTCATTTTGATCTCTCTCTTCCTTGTATATTTAAAGAAGTTCTTATTGTTAGTATTTATATTCCTTGCTAGTTCCCTGTCTTTATTACATTTTTTTTGTTCTCCTTTGCTGGATTCTGAACTTATCCCAGTCTTTGGGGTTATCACTGACTTTGGCCTCATTGTATGCTTTTTCTTTTCACCTAATACTCTCCTTAACTTCCTTGGCTTGAATTTTTTTGGCTTTGGTATGTAAACGTCTTATTTGCTCACACTAGCAGCAGTTGAAACACTTCTTGTTTAGTGTTTTTGTTGACTATGCTGAGTTTGGATTCTGTACCCCTGGCTAAGTCTGTATAGGTGGAACCAACCTACTGATTGTTCTCGTTAACTAAGTTTGATGTGATCAGTTCTAGCCATGGTCTTTCTAACAATGATTCCCAGGTTTGTCTATTGAACGGCTGGTTGTGGTCTAATATTTTGGAGGAAAATAGAAAAACTGGCGGGTTGTAGGGAAGTCTAGACTGTAGGATGATGAAGCTGGAGCAGGTTTAGAGTTTGCAGCTAGCTGATTGAGGACCACTGATACGTGAACCCAGCTGGAGACACCGATCCTCTTCCTGACTGAACCCTGCTGCTCATTTCCCACCAAACCACTGGACTATCCTCCTCAGTGCGACCTGAGTTCCAGCACACACCATGTGGTGTAAACCTCAGGACCGGGCCATCACCTGACAAAACACAAACCCACATTCTGAGAGAATTTGCATAATATTCGGTTGCAACCAGAAGATGCAACTCGAGTTGGATTGAGTGAGATTAGTTTGATACAGTGTAGAGGACACATTTATGAAATAGTTTTCCATAGTATTTTCATATTATTTCAAACAAATATGTGTTCCGGCAGCCACCATGGCACTATTAGCAACAATCATTTGGACAATACCTTCTTTACAGCTAGGAAATAAAACAAATTCACAAGCAATAAATTCCCTTCTCTGGTGCTATTTATTATACAGTGAAATAGCAATTAGTCATATTTGGAGAACATGCAATTCCAGTTGTGTCGAAGTTGTCAGCCTTTCCTGCCAGCAGAATTGCAAATCCAAAGAAATGATGTCCGTGACAAGCTAAAATACCAGACTGGCAACTCCAGATTAGCCAGGTTTGTGCAAGCTTGTCTTGTCACTGTTGCCACCACCAAATCAGATCATAGTAATGCCATTCGAGAGCATGAAGTCCTAGAGCTTTTGGATTTCACCCAGCAGCACAAAAGCCCAGAAGCCATGTAGTCAATACAGAAAAACCTGCTGGACCTGTCCAAAGATGCACATGAAGCATGTAAAGTTAACTGAGTTTTTCCAGAGCTAACTGCTATGCAAGTTCAGACCATTGAATAAATTGAAAATAGTCATTTTTCACAAATTTACTGCATAACTGTGTTTTAATTTTTTTTGACGTATTGTGTGCTTATGGGTAAATCAAGTTACGTAGGGGCATCATTAGCTATCTTGAAGTTCTGCTTAACACAAGTTTGTGGACAGGCCCCTTGCAATATGACTCGTCACAACTTCACTGCAGTTGTATACTTTCTTTCCTTGTTCTCTGCATCTTTCTTCTGGTCATGCTTCATCTCACCAATCTCTTTTATATTTACTCCTCATTAACAAACTATCTGAGCCTTAATCCTTCTTCCTCATTTGTCCACTAGCCTTTCACTGCTTCCCCCATCACCCAATCATTGCAATTGATCTGTATCCAACTCCCCACCATCAAACTCCCAGAAACCCACAGTCCTTCCTCTTCCTTTCCCCTCTAACAATTATTTGATTTAAATTACTCAACTGAAACTCTCAAACCTTCACTTTCTGCTGTTCACGTACCAACACAACCCCATCCCAGTTACATTAAGGGTGGCTGCCTAATTTAAATGGAAATCAGGAGCTTTAAGTGAACTGTGTGTTACTTGGTAAATGCAGAAGCTCAGTGTTATCACTGTTCCTACCTGTCTGTACTATAGGTTTAAGATAATTGTTCTGCCTGAGAAAATTTTACTTTTAAAAGCCGGCAAAAAATTGCATAAATAGGATCTGATTGTGTTCTGGATGGTCGAATAGTGTAATATTCTGTTACGCCATATATTGCATATAATTGCATATAGGAATCTTACTGTTTTATTCATGCAGTACAGCTATGTCATTGCTATGCTTCTTTATTTTCTGCTTTAACCGAGTTTTTAAATGATGTGGATTTTTACCTATTTCAACTCCGTGTTGATATTTGTATCTTAGCATTTTCCCTTTTCGTTGCTTTAAATCCATTTTACCTATTTTGAGATGAATGTGAGAACTTCTAAAATTTTTGGTAATTTTGTTGTCACAGTATTGGGAATGAAATATAAAAAGTATATTTGGAATAAAGGTATTCTGAGATCTCACAATCATAAGTAAAATGCTAAATTCTCCTCAGAACTGCTGCCCAGTTATGGTTTGATTTGGGATGGTATAACGGAGTGAAATGTATTCTTAAAGGTTATCAGCTGAAATCCACCAGTAAAAATTGTGACTATAATCCTCCTGAAAAATCTCTTGTGCCCTTTACATCCTGCCCTGTCCTATTTTATTAGTTGTGAGGGGGCCTGAGCTACCCTTCTACTGCACTAGATCAGTAGTTGTAAGACTATTGCAGGGCTCTGTCAAAGAGCTGGCGTAGGTACAGTGGACTGAATGGCCTCTTTCTCTGATGCATTATTCTATTATGCAAGGTTAGCAACAGTTTTTCATTTATATCAGGTCCACTCTGCCAGAAGTACATCAGTGTTTTAGATTTCTTTTTCCAATCTGTTTTATGTTTTGCTTTATCTGGGTGTGGGTTATCAGTTTCTGAGGAAGGAGAGGTGTTCTGAGCCTGTTGATGTTTGTAACTTAATATTTTCTCTTTTTGTTGCTTTAAATCCATTGATTTTTGTCTCTGTTTCCAGCAAAAATGTTTAGATCACAACTTTTTTAAAAACATATCCTTTGGTAAGGAATTTAATATTCGAAACTTTTCTCTTCAGTGTGGAGCTGGAGGAACACAGCAGGTCAGGCAGCATCAGAGGAGCAGGAAAGTTGACGTTTCATCAAGTGGCCTGGTGAAGGGTGTAAACTCCCCGAATCGTCGACTTTCCTGCTGCTCTGATGCTGCCTGACCTGCTGTGTTCCTCCAGCTCCACTCTGTATTGACTCTGACTCCAGCATTTGCAGTTCTTGCTATCTCCTAAACTCTTCTCTTGTTTGTTAATTTAGGAACTCAAAACAACAAGTCTGTTGACATGAAGCTCAAGAAACTCATTGAGGCTCAACCACAGGTGGCAAATTCACTATCTACTGCTGCCCAAAAAGCCTCAGTGGACAGTGCAGAACAAGAAGAACTCAAGGTTAGTTAAGGCAATTATGTTTTCATGTGGCATGGAACTGGCTTTATTGAAACCTGAAAAGTGAACAAACCCCTTACAAATATATCAACCATGATCCTATTGAGTGGCAGAACAGGGTGAAGGGACCCAATGGTTTTCCTGCTCCTGATTCTTAGCTTCATATTGAATAACTCAGGAAAGCTGCACTGGTTATGCTGTTACAAATTAGGCCATTTCTCGATGTTCAGCAAAAATCTGCATTCAAAGCCTGGGTTTATCATCACACTGTATGAAGAAGTCATGGAGGGGACTGGGTAGCTAGGGTCGGTGCTGGTCTTTCAGTGCTGAAATTTGGACTCTAATCTAGTACAGATCAATGAGATGACCTTTGCCTGTTTACTGACTCTAATGTTTCCTTTATGAATGATGTTAGACAACAGTGTTAAGTTCAAAATCTCCCCTCCCCCCACCGCATCCCAAAACCAGTCCAGCTCGTCCCTGCCTCCCTAACCTGTTCTTCCTCCCACCTATCCCCTCCTCCCACCTCAAGCCGCACCTCCATCTCCTACCGACCAACCTCATCCCGCCCCCTTGACCTGTCCGTCCTCCCTGGACTGACCTATCCCCTTCCTAACTCCCTACCTACACTCACCTTTCCTGGCCCCATCCCCGCCTCTTCGACCTGTTTGTTTCTTCTCCACCTATCCTCTCCTCCATCCCTCTTCTATCCGCCTCCCACTCTCTCCCTATTTATTTCAAAACCCCCTTCCCCTCCCCCTTTTCTGATGAAGGGTCTAGGCCCGAAACGTCAGCCTCTCTGCTCCTATGATGCTGCTTGGCCTGCTGTGTTCATCCAGCCTTGCACAGTGTTAAGTTCCTAATGGGCCCATGATAGAAAACTACCCCAAATCCTTTGAATTTCCCCACCCTTCGGTAATTTACCCGAACCCACACTAATGTACTCCACACTAAGTGACATTCCGATGTAGGCTACAGAATACTTGTGTGACCTGGAAAACATCACCGATGTAGTTGCCATTATTCAAAGATTTCAGTCAAAGGAGGTTCCTTACCACAGGTTAGAGGAAGCAACATATCAACATGAGCACAGAATGCTGACACTGATACTACCATCTTTACTGGGCTGTTCATGTTCTCCACCCTCTGAGCACAAATGCTGTTTTTAAAAATGACACTTAAAGAGGACAGGGTATGAGATTAGACATAAGCAATAGTAAGGGATAGTTTCCCTTGTTTCTCTGTCTTTGTTTCTCCCAGTTTCTCCGTCTCCGCCATATCTGTTCTGACAATGTCACCTTGTGCAGGGGGGGCCTTAAAAATGTGCACAAACGAGGATTCCCCACAGTTATGGTTGACAGGGTCTTAGCCCTGCTTGACCCATCTCTTGCACTTCTACCCTCATCTCTTCCCTTCCCTCCCACAACTATGATAGGGTTGTTCTGGTCCTCACTTATCATCCCACCAGCCTCTGCATCCAAAAGATTGTAAGCTACTATTTCCGTTACCTTCAAAAGGATGTCCACAACCAGGCACATATCCCCTCCCCTCCCTTGTCAGAATTCCACAAGGACCATTTCCTCCACAGCACTCTGGTACACTCCTCCTCCATTCCCATCATCTCCTCACACTCCCATGACACCTTCCATGTGATCACAGAGGGTGTTGTTCCCCTCCTCTCTCACCACCATCTAAGGCCCCAGACATACCTTCCAGGTGAAGCAGTGATTTACCTGCACTTCATGCAATTTAGTCTACTGTATTTGCTGTTCATAGTGTGGTCTCCTCTACATTTGGGAAGATGAAACACAGACTGGGCGACCGCTTTGCAGAGCACTTAGGTTCTATCTGTAAGAATGACCCTGAGCTTCCAGTTTCCTGCCACTTCAACACACCACTGTGTTCCCATGCCAACATTTCTGTCCCAGGCTAACTGCAGTGATCCAGTGAGCCTTGGCGCAAGCTCAATGAACAGCATGTCATTTTCTGCTTGGGGACCCTGTAGCCTCTAGAACCCAACATCGAGTTCAATAACTTTACAGGCTGATTCTCTCCATCCATGATTTTTACCCACTCCAATACCAGATCCTGTTATGACGTGGGTTGCTTTTAGCACAGTCACCCATTCTCACGTGATCGGTGGCCCATTATCACATTACACGAATAAAAACCAAAAGAACTGCGGATGCTATAAATCAGAAACAAAAACCAAGATTGCTGGAAAATCTCAATAGGTCTGGCAGTGTCTGTGGGGAGAAATTAGAGTTAACGTTTCATGTCAAGTGCCCCATCCTCAGAACTCCTCAGAAGGTTCGAAGGAAGGGTCACGCGATCCGAAATGTAAACTCTGATTTCTCTTCACAGATGCTGCCAGACCTGCTGAGCTTTTCCAGCAATTTCTGTTTTTGTCTGTCCTGGTCTGCTATCCATGCTGTCCTTGTTAACCGACCCCTTTCATGTCTGTATCTTTCTGGACTCCATCTCCACTTCTCCATTCAAACATTGCACCACAATCGTCTCTCACCCCAAAAGATTTTCCTAGCTACTCTCAGTTCTGATGAAGAGTCACTGGACTCAAAACTAGTTAACTAAACAGTTAATCCTGCTTTCTTCCCACAGTTGCTGCCAGACTTGCTGGCCTGTAGGAGGGAGGGCTTCAGATAATGTGGATCATTCGGATACCTTCTGGGGAAGATGGGACCTATACAAGAAGGATAGGTTGCACCTGAACTGGAGGGGCACTAATATCCTGGGGTGGGAGGTTTGCTAAAGCTCTTCGGGAGGGTTTAAACTAGTTTAGCAGTGGGCTGGGAATCGGAGATACAGATCAGAGAATGGGGTAGCTGGTGTACAGAAGAGATACAGCATGCAGAGAGTCTATGAGGAAGGATAGACAGTTGATAAGGCAAAATTGCAGTCAGTGTGATGGGTTGAAGTGTGTCTATTTTAACGCAAGAAGTATCAGGAATAAGGGTGATGAACTTAGAGCATGGATCAGTACTTAGAGCTATGATGTTGTGGCCATTACGGAGACTTGGATAACACAGGGGCAGGAATGGTTGTTGGATGTTCCGGGGTTTAGATGTTTCAAAAGAAATAGGGAGGGAGGTAAAAGAGGTGGGGGAGTGGCATTGCTAGTCAAGGATGGTATCACAGCTACAGAAAAGGAGGTTGTCGAGGAGGGTTTGTCTACTGAGTCAGTATGGGTGGACATCAGAAACAGGAAAGGAGCAGTCACTTTATTGGGAGTTTTCTATAGACCCCCCAATTGCAACAGACACTGAGGAACAGATTGGGAGGCAGATGTTGTGAAAGGTGCAGAAATAATAGGGTTGTTGTCATGGGTGACTTCAACTTCCCGAATATCAACTGGGACGTCCTAAGTGCAGATTTTGTGTCCAGGAAGAATTTCTGACTCAGTATGTAGATAGGCCGACTAGAGGGAAGGCTATATTGGATTTGGTGCTTGGCAACGAACCAGGCCAGGTGCCAGATCTCTCGGTGGGAAGAGCATTTCAGTGATAGTGATCACAACTCCCTGACCTTTATTATAGTCATGGAGAGGGATAGGAGCAGATGGTATGGAAAAGTATTTAATTGGGGGAGGGGGAATTACAATGCTATTAGGCAGGAACTATAGAGCATAAATTGGGAGCAGATATTCTCAGGGAAATGAACGACAGAAATGTGGAGGTTGTATAGGGAGCAGTTGCTATGAGTACTGGATAGACTTGTCCCACTAGAGAAGGAAAGGATGGTAAGGTGAAGGAACCTTGGATGACAAGACATGTGGAACATCTAGTCAGTTGGAAGAAGGAAGCGTACTTAAGGTTGAGGAAGCAAGGATCGGACAGGGCTCTAGAGGGTTACAAGGTAGCCAGGAAGGAACTGAAGAATGGACTTAGAAGGGGGCATGAAAAAGCTTTGGTGGGTAGGATTAAGGAAAGCCCCAAGGTGTTCTATTCTTATGTGAGGAACAAGAGGATGGCCAGAGTGAGGGTAGGGCCGACCAGGGATAGTGGAGGGAACTTGTGCCTGGAGTCAGAGGAGATAGGGGAGGTCCTTAATGAATACTTTAAAACTTCAGTATTCACCAGTAAGAGGGACCTTGTAGTTTGTAAGGACAACGTGAAACAGGCTGATATGCTTGAACAGGTTGATGTTAGGAAGGAACATGTGCTAGAAATCTTGAAAAACATGAGGATAGATAAGTCCCCTGGGCCAGACGGGATATACCCAAGGTTACTACGGGAAGTGAGGGAAAAGATTGCTACCCCTTTGGCGATGATCTTTGCGTCCTCGTTGTCCACTGGAGTAGTACCAGATGATTGGAGGGTGGCAAATGTTATTCCCTTGTTCAAGAAAGGGAATAGGGATAATCCT